CAACTATTTATTCATTTTTCTTACTGCTCAGTCTGGGTCTGCCAAGAGAGCTGGATGGCCCTCTTCACTTGTTCGGGGGTGCTGGGACTGGCTCTGGGTGTGCCAGCCAAAAGGGTCAGATGGCCCCCTTGGCATGTTCAGATGACGCGCAGACAGGCTTTGGGTGGATGGGGCAGAGCCCTGCCACACTGCTACTACAGCAGTTAAAAGAGCCTCGTGGTGCAGTGGTAAAAGTGTTGTACTACAGCCAAAACTGTGCTCACAACCTGGGGTTCAATCCCAGGTAGCCCGCTCAAGGTTCACTCAGCCTTCTATCCTTCCGAGGTCGGTAAAATGAGTACCCAGTTTGCTGGGGAGGCAATGTGTAGTCTGCATCATTAACTTTTAAACCGCCCAGAGAGTCCTTGAAGCACTATGGGGCGGTATATAAGCAGCACACTTTGCTTTGCTTAATCCACGGGGCCACTGGTGAGCTGAGCTAATTCGTGAGGTGGGGGGACACCCGCACAGGTTGCACATAGCAGCAACATAGACTGTGGCACTGTGGGTTAAACTGCTGAGCCACTGGGCTTGTCCATCAGAATATCAGTACTGCAATTTGAATCATGCGACAGGGTGAGCTATGTTCCATTGCTTTCACCCAGCTTCTGCCAGCCTTCTGGGGCAGAAGAGAAGGCTAGGAGGCCGGAATGAACAGGCATGAATAATTGGAATGAAGTCCAAGGAGGCTGGAATCATGAAATACATATAAATATGCATTTCTGAGGTTTTTCAGATCATGAAATACATATAAATATGCATTTCTAAGGTTTTTCAAAATTAAAGAATCAGCGGATACTGATCCTGGAGATAGGGAGGGCCATGTCAGACACAGCACATCTCAGGAGGAGGGAGCACATTGGTCAGGTTTGGGTGGCACTGAACCTGGCCCTCTTCGCACGGGGACCCATGAGGAGGGTAAGACGCTGACGTCTGCAAGCAGCATTTGAGAATCAAGCCTGAGGAAGTTGGAATGAGCATGCAGGCCTTTTGGAAGTGGATGGAGCTAGAATGAGCACACAGGCCTTTTGGAAATGGATGGAACTGCAGGACTTGGAAAGTTGTCATGTAGCCAGCAACATAGACTTTTGGAGTGGACCCATCGGGCACTGAGGAAGTTGGCAGCAAGGTAGACAGTGGCACTGCAGATTAAACTGCAGTGCTGCTGAGCCACTGGGCTTGTTATAGGTGCTGCTGCTGCTGCTGTTGTCCATCTTGGTACGGGGGATGCCCAGACAGGCTTGGGGTGTGTGTGCAGAGCTGGCTCTCAGGGAATCAGTAGCACCAACAGGAGAAAAGGGTCCAAGCATGGTGCTACTAATGGCAGTTGATCTGCAGGGCTGCGGGGCTGTCGGAAACAGATGCTCTGCAATCTGAAGCCGGGCAATGGGGTGACACCCAGACAGGCTTTGGGTGTGTCTGAGACAGGCCTAGGAGACTCACTACCTATCACTCACCAGCAATGTCTTACTAGACTTGCTGACAAACAAAGATGATCATTTAGAACTAGAAAGCTGGGGGGGGTGGGTTTCCAACTTGGCTGCTGAGACCACCCAGATATGATAAAGATAACCCTCGGAGGTTTAGGGGGACTGAGACAGGCCTAGGAAACACCACCTGTCACTCACCAGCAACGTCTAACTAGGCTTGCTGACACTTTCAAACAAACAAAGATGCTTATTTAGAACTAGAAAGCAGGGGGGTTTCCAACTTGGCTGCTGAGACTGCCCGGATATGATAAAGATAGCCCTCGGAGGTTTTGGGGGGCTGAGACAGGCTGGCCCTCTTGGCACATTTGGGATGCCAGGACCAGCTTTCGGTCTGCCAACTGCCAAGAGGCCTGGTTGGCCTTCTTGCCATGTTTGGGGATGGGGACAGGCTTTGCGTGTGCCAAGAGAACTGAGAGTTATCTGTGAGGGGAGGTTGTACCAAGGGGCAAAAAAAGGCAGCAACTGGCGGAAGGTTTGGGGTTCCACGATGGACGGTGGAAGTCCAAGCAGGGCAATCGTCTCAGCAATGAGAAAAGTGGCCGCCTGCTGGGCCTTGCCCTTCGACAGAGCTTTGAATTGGCACTTGCAAGCTCAGAGAGGCCCCCCAAAGGGTTAACGAATATAGACAAATATGATCAATGAATAAAACTGAGGAAATATTTGTCAAGCCATATTCATCCTGATTTAAAATCTGCAGAGGCTATGACTTACTCTGCCTTACAAGAGCTTTTTTTTCTATATACAGTGGTGCCTCGCTTAACGAGCACACCATATAACGACGAAATCGCATAGCGATCCGGTTTTTTTATCGCTAATGCGATCGCTCAACGTCGTTTAGATAGGGCAAAAATCGCTTTACGAAGATCTCAAAACAAAGCCCCAACAATCAGCTATTCGGTGGACAAAATGGCCGCCGGAAGCTCCGTAATGGCCGTGCGCAGCGTTTTCGCGCCCTCCACTCGCTTAACGAGGGCACGAAAATGGCTGCCGGCCATAGGAAACCTCACTGAACGGTGAGTAAAGGGGCCTTTTGGAACCCATTAAACGATGTTTGGAACCCATTAAATGGCTTTCGTCAAGCCATATTCATCCTGATTTAAAATCTGCAGAGGCTATGACTTACTCTGCCTTACAAGAGCTTTTTTTCCCGTTATAAACAACTTTGCTTCTCCCCCTTCACTCTTCATGGTAGAGCGGTCAAAAATTTTTATTTTCCCAGTATCATCAGGTGGCGTAAGCAAAGTAACAACTTAAGCCACCCTGTTTGGTTCAGTCCCAGTGGTCACACATGCTGGAACTGAACCAAAATGGAACGATCCTACCTGCACCAAAAAAACCCAGTAATGTCTGACCCAAAAAGGTGTTTGTAGGTACGAGCCGTGGAGAGGCTGTTCATGAGTGCCAGTTATGTCATGTGGCACGAAAATGGCTGCCGGCCATAGGAAACCTCACTGAACGGTGAGTAAAGGGGCCTTTTGGAACCCATTAAACGATGTTTGGAACCCATTAAATGGCTTTCCCTGTCCCGTTCAGCAATGTTTCGCTATAGCGAAGGTTAATCTGGAACGGATTAACCTCGCTATGCAAGGCACCACTGTAAGCAACTTTGCTTCTCCCCTCTTCCTCTTCATGGTAGAGCGGTCAAAAGTTTTTATTTTCCCAGTATCATCAGGTAGCGTAAGCAAAATGACAACTTAAGCCACCATGTTTGGTTCAGTCCCGGTGATCACACATGCTGGAACTGAACCAAAATGGAAATGTCCTACCTGCACCAAAAAAACCCAGTAATGTCTGACCCAAAAAGGTGTTTGTAGGTACGAGCCGTGGAGAGGCCGTTCATGAGTGCCTGTTATGTCATGTTATCAGGAAAATGAGTGAACCAGCTGATCCCCAAACTGGACCAACCCACAAGACAAATCCCCATCTGATCACCCCCAGAAATCATGTGGACTGATTTGTGGGAAAATCCCTGCTTTTAAACAATCAGGCAGTCAAACTGGGCATTCCTCCAAGACATTCTAATTTGAGACAAGAATCTCCCCAGCACTCCCAGTTGCAGTGCTTGAGGGAAAGATTGCATAAAGTCACTTTGGATAGACACTTCTTTCAGGCAGATTTCTGCTCTTTCGCTAGATTTAACTGGAAGCAGTTGTATTCAGCCTGTTTAACTCTACCAGTTGCCGCCTGCATACCCAGTACCCAATACACTGCCTCTTCATGTAGCATTCTAACATTCTAGCCATGACTTCTGGTCCTCAGACACACTCCTTACTGCAGCTAATACTAGGAAAGTTACGTCTTTCTTCTCCCTCCCTCTCTCTCTCTTTTGTCCTACTTTGTCTCTGTTTCTTTCTCTATTGTCTCTTTGTCAGCTAACCCCCCACAGTCCCAGAACTTACCACACAAGCAGCGTACATACATTGCAGACACCAGAGCGTAGAAAGCAGCACACACTTACAGTGTTAGAAACACAACTGAATACAGATGTTTTGACAAATTGATTTCATCTTCTGAAAAAAGCTAATGTTGGAAGCGACTAGCAGAAAAAAGTCTTCTATTTCTTGCAATTTGGCAAGGATTGTTTGCTCTGGAGGGACATACCTTGTAAGAAAATAGAAACATTAAAGCTGTTCTGGTTATCCAGCAGAAGACCTGCAACTTGGATTTCTGTGTATCAGGCAAAATCTGTATGTTAATTTTAATTTAGGATAAGAACTGGATCTGCATGTAATTCAAATTGCAGAATCAAGCTTTGCAGTGTATCGGGGAAGCAAGAAACCTCACAGTTGCAAAGAATACTATTATCTGCCTTGAGACCTAGTTTGAGAAAAAAGCCAGGATATAGATCCAGTAAGTGATCAAATAAATATTGAGATGGAAGACAACCAGAAAATGATAGGTATGGTGTTCCATGATGGAGGAAAGGCACAATAAAGGCACTATATAAATAAAGGTTGAAGCTTGCTAGGCTATTTTAGTTCATTTTACAAGCTAGACATATGAAAGGTTTAGTGATATAATCTATCATTTATGTTTTATTTTTTTCAGAACGGTACTCTCTCATTAATGTCACCTTGGACAATGGCATTTTCAGGACTAATGAAAGAAAGGCAGTCAAACTTCCCGGGCACTGCTCACATCCTTTTTGATTAACGTGTCGAGTTGGTCCTTCTGGCAGCTCCAGCACAATTAATATAATGATTACCTGTTGCAAAAGGAATGTCATTCAAGAGGATTTTGTCTGATGCAGGGTAGATTTTGGTAGGTCTTCTAGCAGCTTTGCAGGAAATTATACAGGATCTTTTTCTTAATTGGAGATTTATTAGGCTCACATTAGCAATGAAATTATTGCAAGGAAGGAAAATGGAGGAAGATAGCAAATGGAGATGAAACTGAATTAGTGTGAAGGCCTCATTCAGCAGAAGTCGCAACAGCCAATGCAGAAATGTTATTTTTTTCTTTCCCTAGGAGCTGCTAAAGTCTGCACTATTCTCTCCCGTAGCTTTGTGCCCCTTGGTGACAAAGACTGATAGGAGAATTAGAAGGAGAGGACATTTGAGCACATAGAGGGTAGCCGAGAGCTAGAGAAGGTAAACTTTTAATTCTTTAATTTGGATGGAAATGACACCTCAGTTAACCCAGAAGCAAAACTAGCCATGATGGATGCGAGCTGTTAGCAAGCTGTGGTACAGGGACAAAAGCAAACGGTGGGGGATTTTGTTCACGTAATCTACAACAGCAAGCTCCCAAGTATAGCTGCCATACAAAGAGGAGAAGGAGGAGGATTTCCATTGCCATCACTTCCACTCTCAAAATTAGCATTGTTTTGGCATAGGTTTGTTTCATCTACCTTTATGAAAGATAAGAATAGTAATGGCATACATCTTTTCATTGCATTAAGCATAGTATTGCTCCAGGACTGCTCTGATGATGTCAACTACTTCATTCGACAGGAACACAATAGATACTGTACTGCAGCCAAAACTGTGCTCACAACCTGGGGTTCAATCCCAGATAGCCGGCTCAAGGTTGACTCAGCCTTCTATCCTTCCGAGGTCAGTAAAATGAGTACCCAGCTTGCTGGGAGAGGGCAATGTGTAGCCTGCATAACTAACTTGTAAACCGCCCAGAGAGTGATTGAAGCGCTATGGGACGGTATATAAGCAGCATGCTGTTAGATGTGACAAATGCTTTCAAAAGTTGCACTTTTCTGTTTAGAGCAGTGTGAAGGAAATTCATTGAAATGAGAGGGGCTGCAGAAATTGGGCATTGCTCCTCTGGATCAATAATATTTTCAAAGAGCTGTAGTATAAAACTGGAGTCATTTTTTAAAAAGAAATCCCCTTTGTGTATTGGGATTCTGTATTTTTTTAAATTGAGAATGGGAGCAACTTGGAAAAAAGCCTGGAGATACAACCATGATATCTCCAGAAAGATTGCTTCCCATGGCTTATTTCTTGGCCAGAGGTAGACTTGGGATAGTGGGCAGGTTTAGAATAAGCTACGGCTTTTTGCCAACTGTGCCTTTACCTGAAGGCTGAATCCGGGCAAGATGGAGGTCCTTCGGGTGGGTGTCCCAGACATCAGTGGTCTGGGAAACTCCCTCTCCTCTGGAGGGTGACTCTTACCACCAAGAGTCAGGTTTGCAGTTTGGATGTAAGGTGCATGCATGTTTGGCCTGGATAAGGTGAAGATCCAGAGAGAGAGTTAGGGCACAAAGTTGGGGACCAACAAAACCCAAAGGAACTATGGGACTTTGTATTTCTGGCTATAAGCCCTCATTGTGAGAAATTAAACTCTTGAACTGAACGTTTTGAACTGTGCTTTCAGTAAGCTAACAAAAAACATCTGCTGCTAATTGTGGGAGTAGTGCAAACTCAGGGGTTAAGACAACCCCAGTACGAGGATCCTCCTGAGCAAGCAGATTCCACACCTGTCCACTAAGTGATGGAAGACACATTAAGCATTCCATACTTCACAATAAGTGATAAGGACCGTATATCTAGGGGGAAACAAAGAAACATCTAATGTGCATGCCCAACTAGCAACCTGCCCAAAAGCATACAAAAGGAGGGGTCAGGTCAACCATATTTTGTCTACTGAGACCAAAAGGCTTTTGAAACTAACTACTTTCTTTGGAACTTGGATGATGCAAATAAAGAATTCTTCTCTCTTTACTGAGTATGTATGTAGTGTTAATATGCTGAATGCATGAAACCCCTTTCATTAGAATTGCAATCAATACGTATATTCATTTTGCATTTTAAAATGTGTCTTGTGAGGTCCTTTGCTGTTTTATATTGTTCTTCTTGGGATACAAAAGATCCAGTAGTCACCCTTTTGTGACATCGGTGTACATCTGGACGCAGCACTCACCATGGAGATCCAGGTGTTGTCAGTGATCCGTTCCGCACATTTCCACCTTTGGCAGACTGTCCAGCTGCGGCCTTCTTTTGATGTGGGGGCGGTCACCACTTTGGTCCATGCCCTCGTAGTATCAAGATTAGACTACTGTAATACGCTCTTTTAGCCTTTTGTTTTTGTTCATGGAGTTTTCTTGGCAAAGATACTGGAGTGGATTGCCATTTCCTGCTCCAAGTAGATCAGATGTTTAGTCAGAACTCTCCACTATGACCTGTCTATCTTGGGCATCCCTGCATGGCATAGCCTATAGCTTCTCTGAATTACTCAAGCCCTTTCGCCATGACAAGGCAGCAATCCATGCGCTGGATTATGGAGAAAGCCAGAGAGTTCCAGAAAAAATCTACTTCTGCTTCATTGACTATGCAAAAGTCTTTGACTGTATGGACCACAACAAACTATGGCAAGTTCTTAAAGAAATGAGAGTGCCTGACCACCTTATCTATTGCCTGAGAAATCTATATGTGTGACAAGAAGCAACAATTAGAACTGGATATGGAACAACTGATTGGTTCAAAATTGGGAAACGAGTACGACAAGGCTGTATATTGTCCCCCTGCTTATTTAATTCATATGCAGAATACATAATGTGAAAGCAGGATTCGATGAATCCCAAGCCGGAATTAAGATTGCCAGAAGAAATATCAACAACCTCCGATATGCAGATGATACCACTCTGATGGCAGAAAGTGAGGAGGAATTAAAGAACCTTTTAATGAGGGTGAAAGAGGAGAGTGCAAAAAATGGCCTGAAGCTCAACATAAAAAAAACAAACCTGAGATCATGGCCACTGGTCCCATCACCTCCTGGCAAACAGAAGGGGAAGATATGGAGGCAGTGACAGATTTTACTTTCTTGGGCTCCATGACCACTGCAGATGGTTACAGCAGCCACGAAATTAAAAGATACCTGCTTCTTGGGAGGGGAGTGATGACAAACCTCAAAAGCATCTTAAAAAGCAGAGACATCACCTTACTGACAAAGGTCCGTATAGTCAAAGCTATGGTTTTTCCAGTAGTGATGTATGGAAGTGAGAGCTGGACCATAAAGAAGGCTGACCGCCAAAGAATTGAGGGTTGTTGTGGGTTTTTCGGGCTCTTTGGCTGTGTTCTGAAGGTTGTTCTTCCTAATGTTTTGCCAGTTTCTGTGGCTGGCATCTTCAGAGAATAGCACAGAGAGCACAGAGTGCTGTCCTCTGAAGATGCCGGCCACAGAGACTGGTGAAATGTTAGGAAGAATAACCTTAAGAACGCGGCCAAAGAGCCCAAAAAACCCACAACAACCCCAGCCGGGAAACCTTCGCAAATACAAAGAATTGGTGCTTTTGCATTGTGGTGCTGGAGGAGAATCTTGAGAGTCCCCTGGACTGCAAAGAGAACAAACCTATCCATTTTGAAGGAAATCAACCCTGAGTGCTCACTGGAAGGACAGATCCTGAAGCTGAGGCTCCAGTAATTTGGCCATCTCATGAGAAGAGAAGACTCCCTGGAAAAGACCCTGACGTTGGGAAAGTGTGAAGGCAAGAGGAGACGACAGAGGACGAGATGGATGGACAGTGTCATCGAAGCTACCAACATGAATTTGATCAAACTCCGTGAGGCAGTGGAAGACAGGAGGGCATGACGTGCTCTGGTCCATGGTGTCATGAAGTGTCGGACATGACTTAACGACTAAACAACAACAACAAATGCACTCTACCTGGGACTGACTCAGAAACTTCAGATGGTACAGAATGCGGCTGCCAGACTTCTTATGGGGGTGAAAAGGTACCATCATATTTCCCCCACTCTGGCCACTTTTCATTGGCTGCCCATTGGTTTCTGCGTTGATTTCAAAGTTATTATGATTACATATAAAGCCCTAACTAGTTTAGGACATCGATATCTGGCAGAGCGCCTTTTCCCACCCATTTCTGCCAGAGTTACTCATTCCAGCCAGGCTGGGCAGCTGAGGAGCCTAACGCCGAGGGTGGTTTGGAAGGAAAGAATGAGGAACTAAGTAAGTAAGTAGTAAGTACATAAGTAAGTAAGTAAGTGCCTGGTTTTTATATTTTCTGTTGCATAGCAATTGTGTTTAACAGGGAAGCAAACATTTCTTAACAAGTGGTGAAATTTATGCAGATGGACATCCTTAATGTGTGCAGGCTACATAACCTACCATTCTTCCATTTTGAAAAAGGGCTACATTATTGAGAACTGGTGTTGAAAGACAGATGCAATAAAACAAAAGAGGAAGCACATTGGCATAAAGTAGCTGAAAAGTGTAAGTTTAATTTCTGCATTCTTTGAATATCATAAAAATTCTCCCAATATTTTTTAGTTCAAGCCTACAAAGGAGAAGAAAATGGCAGCATTGTATGAATATATTATTGTATTAGGGAAATTGCTTATTTTACTGAAGTGTTAAACTATAGCTCTATCATATGTTTCTCCTTCCGGGCTTTTGATATCATTTGTGTATCTGGTATATAGTTATAAGGTTTTCCTTTTGTTGTTCAGCTGTATTATTCTTTCATTTCATGTTAGATGTTTCTGCCCTTCTCTCCGTTAGGTAACAAGATGACTCAAGAAGAATCATTCAGGAGAAAAGGATGACATATTGGGCAAAGTAAATGTAATTGTGAGCATTAATGTGAATGACTTTGACAGAACGTAGTTTTCCTCTAGATTCTCAAAAAATGAGTCACAATTAAACCTGAATGAGGATTGGGGAGTCTAATGTACAAAGCCTATCCTTATTTTCCTAATAAATCCATTTGTAACTCCCTTTTTCCATTAAGGATAGCTTCCTGGTAAGTTAGAATAACAACAACAAAGAGACTATATAGATGGTACCATATTAGCTGTCCTGTTCCTCCTATAATAGGTATTTTCCTCATTCCTCTCAAACAGCAGGGTGCTTAGGGCCATAAAATATCGTCATTTTATTGCCATTTTTAAAAAAGTAACCGTTGAAATTGTGTATACGTAAGAAACAGGCATATTTGTAATATAAAGGGAATTTAATTTGGATAAACTGGGATTATTATTTGTAGAAAAATAGACATTATATAAATCAGTTACAATGAACATGATAAACCGTACAAAATAGATCTGTGGACTTGAAGTAGTAAAGCAAAATGTTTTAAAGGAGGATTTTGAACAGTACGCTTCATTTTAGGGGAAGCTATAGGGAGGCAATGATGGGTAGAGGAAGTTATTAAGTTTTCATCTAATTCTTATCAAAAGCACAATAGCGAGACAGATATAAAAGTGTTCACTTTTTGATGGATTGAAGGAAGGAGCAAAGAAAAGAAAAAGAAAACCAGAAGAGATTCAACAATGGTTCCACCACAAATCAGGAGTTTTGTGTTTATAACAGTGTTTGGTGGGACCAAGACTTGATCAACGGAAATATTGAAAAGAAAGCTATCCAACTGAAAATAAGCCATCTTGTTTTCTTATCTTCTTCTCTTAAACTGCCTTTTCATTAATGGGTTGAGGGTAGTAATGTATATACAGATTGCATGAGGTAAAGAAAATAATTCTGATCCCAAACACTTGAATCCCTGTTAATTGCTTACCGTACCCAGAAACCAGGTGGTGATGGTTCCAGAGAAGCCACCCTGAACACATAGGAAGCACTTTTACATGTCTAAAACCTGACAAGACATCTTCTTGTTCTATCTTATCATATTTCTTGGATTGATCATAGTGAAAGGACTAAAAGGACTGGAGAGTCCCCAGGTGTGGTTTATCCTCTCAGGAAGATCCAGGACCCCAGGAAATGAGGATGAAGAAAATGTGAAACAAAGACACAGTAAAGAGTTTGTCTGGAGAACCTGTTGTGTACCTACTGTATGTCTGAGCTGCAAGGGTCACATGACCTTCCCCTGCCCATGGAGGGCACCAGGGATCACACACTTAAAAGGAATAAAATAAAATGTATAATAATGTGCACATGTTTTCATCAGTGTGAAAGTACAGTTCTCAGCCTCAAAACAATGAAATGCCTTGAGAAAACCTGTATAAAAATACAGAAAGTAATCCAGCCACTGAGACAATTCAAGTGTCCACAGAAATTATAGTGAAGAGCTTGATGTTTTGCAGGTGAGAAAACAGAAACATGAAGATTGAAAAAAATCTTACATATTATAGATAAATGCAGAAGCCAATGTGCCTAGAAGATGTGTATAGATTCCCCATTGACACTCTTGCTGTAACATGTTTTATTTATTGATGAGAAAGGAGTATTTGCATTTGCAGGTATTTCACAGAGACTCTTTCCTGTCTTGTTCAATTAAGACTACAGTATCTGGCATGGATCATCCTCCTGATTAAATCTAGCAGTGATGATCAGAGATGGATTTGCATAACCCAAAAGGAAAAAAAAAATGAAAGAGTTCGATTTTTATTTGGCATGGGTTTCATAAATATATATTCAAATTAATTCAGGATGCTAGATCTTAATTTCTTTCCTTTGTAAAATGTGGTGTTATTGTGCTTGTATTTGGAGAAAACATAAGGCTGAAGCCCAACATTGGCTATTTTTGAGGGGTGGCCTCCTCTCAGTTTAAATCCTGTTCCTTGGTCCTTGACATGGGCTGGACTTTCTCCTACATGTGATTCTGAGGGAGCAGCTTTAGAAACACTGGCAAAACATGCCTTTGTCTTGCTCTCAGTAGCATCAGAGATAGCATGAAAGGGGTTGTTAAGGCCATTCTGAACCATCCCATTGTGTATTTTCATGGTATACCACTGCCAATGTTCTCAATTCCAAAAACGGGGAAAAAAGACAGCATAATGATTTATTGGCTGAAATCTAATAGTAAGTAGCAATTACAGTAGGCCCATTGAATCAATGGAGTTTATGAGGACACTGACTCATCAAATCCCTAATGATCCAATTGGCCTACTCTGTCACTTACAACAACTATTGTCACCATCAGCCCAGTGCCTCAACTGAAGATGCTACATATTTGACAATTATTTGGGTGGGGAGAGTAATCATATCTGTTTAGCTTATGGCTACCTGAAATGTTATCCCTGCTTGCTTCTGTAGTCTCAGAAGTCCACTGGCCCTGCAGTTGTTATGGGACTCCAGTTCCCATCATCCAGCAATTCCAGTGGTGAACAGTAGTCCTTTCAATAATTCCTTTGCATGTGTTTGAATTAGCTGATGACATTAACAGAATTTTGTTACATGTACTTCTAAAAATGCGTGTGCACATCAGAAAGATATGTGAGTTGGTATCAGAAAGGAAATTCCAGTTGAAAATAGAAACATAAGAGTTCCTCACACTGCTCTGTATGAAAATTATCAGTGCTGCTGTCATATGCTAAATAATTTTATCACTACACTGTTGCAAAGATTAAGTCAAAAAGGGACAGCATGAGACTATATTGCCTTCTCTGACCTTCTTTTCCCTAGCTCTAATGGTGCAGATCTGATCTTCCTTCTGCAAGCATCAGATTGTGTATAGGGATACTTGGAGTAATACAAAAGCAAAAGTCATGTAGCTGCATTCAGTAGCATTGCTAACAACTTGAATGAAATGGGGGGAAAGCAGATGGGAGGACTTAACGAATGGTAACTATTATATTTTGGGAAAAGGAACAGGCAAATTCTGTTCATCAACAATTATGGAGTCTATAATGAGTACAGGCATACAGGGCTGCAGGCATGCTCCGCCAAGGAGTGTGGGAAAAGCCATTAACATTTTCAGCAGCCTCTTAACTCCACACTGTGGAATTTGATCAGTATTGACAGAAGGAAAAGTACCACCTACTGAATTGCAAACAGCACTTTCTGTAGAATCCCCTATTAAACCAATTTCCTCCATGAGATTTGATGAGATCTCTGTCCACATTCAGAAGAAATCCTATTACTTGTTGAATTCTATATTTTGGCTTGTAAACCCTTGTTGATTGGATATTAACACATAAAATAATAGAATTATGGGTGAATTGGCAAACAGAGATATAGTCAACGATGTATTGCTGACTGAAAAGTATGTTGCATTTGAAAAACAGCTTAATCATTTGCACTATGAATTGGAGAGGTCACCTGGCTGAGGATTCTTTGAACACATCTAATAGACTTGTAATGACGAGCAACTGTTTTGCCAAAATTATGGAATTCAGTATATTAAAAAAAGAGAGGAAGAAAATCCTAAAGAGCAACTCACAAGTGGCATTGATGTGGCAAGGCCTTCAAGTTAGTTTTTTCATCAGGTCCATTTTATGTGGTGGGAGATATATGATGTCTTGAGGGCTACTGTTATTATATCTTGTGAAAGTAAACCCTTCTGTTGACTGGTTCCCCATGGCATAGCAAGCTACATTGTTTCCTAATCCTGGGAAGCACTTGAGGAGTAATTTTCCAGGCAAAATTAAAAATAAGATCTGATATGGTTTGCTAAGGCCGTTAGTGTCCTTGATCAGATCAGACCTGCAATATCCAGTAAATTGACAAAAGTGATATAAAAATCAGAGAACACAGAAAGTGGGTGATGCAAAGGTGGGGTGTTTCTAGAGAAACATACATGGCTTAATCTAAAGGTCACCTGGCTGGGGTTTCTTTGGCCAGTTCTAAGAGATCATGGGAATTTAACGACAATGTCAGCAGATAGATGATGTTTCTCCAGTCCCGTGTATATATTTTATTAAATTGTTCCCAGCTCTCATCTGCTGTTATGGCTGAAAGCCACTGAGATGGAAGTCAAGCACCTTGTTATGATGTCCTATGTCTCTTGAACCTAGCCAGGAACATGGGAAATACTAGACCTTCACCAGACCTTTTTCAGTCTGGTAGAGATTGACCATGTCATACACCAAAATGTTTTCAAGATATTTTATTCATGCCAAGGAAAAGGTCCACTTGATTGTTATAGCCTGTTGATAACAACCTACATGTGTTTAACTGAAAATTATGGGTAAATGGTAAAGGAACTTTTTGTATAAATCTACAAAGTTTTGAGGCCTGTTCCACTGAATTGTTTTGTCTTTCTTGCCAGCAAGGAAATGCAATGTCCCATTCATGAAATATCCAAACACTGAGTTGGACACACTGACACTGAGAATACTAGTACATTTCTAGTAAGATATATGCAAATAAATTCAGGCAAGCACTGCCCCATTACCAATATCCTTTCAAATTCCTGTATAGAGTCTGAGGACAATACTGTATGTGGTTGTTTGGGGGGGGGAATCTATTTGAATTGAGTTTAACACGTTTTAAATCAATTTTTAAAAGGTGACTCACAATGTACATGGAAGCTCTGATGTTTAATTTAACTCTCTTGTAAAAATTGATTTAGTGTGAATTGCTTTAGCATATGAGAATGCCTCTGTCACTGTAAACTGTGTCTGGGAAATTTGCTACTCCCACCACTCACTGGTTCCTTCTCATCCACCAGGTTTCCTTCTGTGTGAATATGCATCTGTCTGAACTTGAGGGAGGCAAATGGGAAAGCCTGTGGTGCAGGATTGGAGGCAAGAGGTGTGTGAGATGTGTAGCCTGAGGAGATAAAGAGTTCTCTTTGAAGTAGTAGGTCGAAAGGATCTGAGGCACAGATCCTCATGAATCCACATGATTTTTAGGTAGGATCATCCCTAAACTAC